CGAAGGATGGACAACAGGCTGCCCACGCACATTGTCTGGCACTCCGAGGGCCGACATCGGCGCACCTGGGACAAGCGCGTCCAACTCTGGAGCTCCCTGCTAGTTCAGCTGATGTGCGACTGGGACGGTTTAGGGTTTAGGGTTTAGGGTTCAGGGTTTAGGGTTTAGGGTTTAGCGCTTGGGGTGTAAGGTTTCGGTATCTGGATTTAAGGTTTCGGGCGCATAAGTTCAATTCGGAAAGCTTAGACGGACATTGACGGTAACAAAGAACCCTAAACCCCTGGACCCTAAACCCTAAACCCTAAGAAGCCTAACTAATCACTGATTCTATTTGTTGGAGCCTTCAGGTTCCCCATAGGGGGGTTATATGGGGTTTCCCAAAAAGAAGGGACCCTAATATGGCACCCTAAATAGTAGGATCCTCATTCTAGTGACTAAAAGGACTCCAAGATAAGGTAACCCTTATTTTCGGAAAGTTTCCATATTGGAAAATAAACTCCCAAGCCTTGTTCTAATTCCTGAGGCCCATAATGTAGCAGCTGTTGTATGAAGTGTCCTGGAGGTAAGCTTTCTCAAATCGTTGTGAGCTTATATGTGTTTACAAGGACTTAGTGTGTGTGTGCGTGCGCAAATGTTCTTTTTCTAGACACATACATACATACATACATACATACATACATACAAACATACGCGCATACATACAAACATACGTAGATACATACGCACACACACACACACGCATACACACATACACACCCCACGCCCCACCAGGTGAGTTTGAAGGCGACTCGTTCCAGCTGGTACTTCGGAAGCTCACAGGCGAAGTGATTTCCAAGGTTGCCATGGATCCTGCGACGAGCTGGGAGGAAGCAAGAATCTCAGGGGCAGGTAATTTTTGATTATTAGGTACTTGGACCCGTAGTCTTAGGGTAGGGTTACTAACCAGGGTTGTAAAGACTTAGTGGCTGAGTAGGTAACCTTGAACCTTTTGGGGCCTTTATGATCCTACTATAATTCAACAGGTTAACCTTTTTTGGGGCTGGGGTAGTCAGCCCGTAAGGAATGCTCATGACACCGGGATTGAAAGACCTGCTGAAGAAGGGGAGGAAGCTGGCGTTTGTTTCACCCCTGGGAGACGTCCTGACACGATCGGATGACGAACGACCTGCGGCTGTTTGTTAAAAACATTTTGAATATGGAAGCCCAGCCGAAGTAGCAGCAGTACCCTAATCCCTGAACCCTAAACCCTAACCAGTACCATACCTTGATCCTTATTTGCACCGCAAGCCTACACCCGAAACTCTCAATATGCCTCAGGACCCATCGGTGCCATCGTGGGATTTGCTGAGCTGCGCGATCAGCAGCCGGGAAAGAAGCAGAGACTGCAAGGATGATCCTGCAAAGAGGGTTTCGTTTAGGGTTTGGAGTTGAGGGTTTAGGGCTTAGGGTTTAGGGCTTAGGGCCTAGGGCTTGGGGGTTAGGGCTTAGCTCTTGGCAGCCAGCTTTTAACCGGATACAGAGAACGACATCAGGCTTATTCATAGCTATTCCGGTGGTCTTGCCGCTTGCCATCCCGACGAGGGGAGCGGATAAACTGAGCGTTGTGACAGGACCATCGGCTTAGGGTTTAGGTCTAGGACATGTTCAGGTGGGTAGTTACCGTTCTAGGAGCCTTATTGTACAAGGTCTATATACCTTATGGAAGCCTTATAGAAGCCCTAGATACCCTAAACTCCCCACCTGTAGTTTCCTTTAATTAGGGTGTAGGATCTCCATGGCCCCGCCAAAGTGATGCTGACGAAAGCTTTGTGTGATGACAAGGAGACAGTGTCAATGTCAGGTCTATTGCAATGCTACCGCGTGTTTAATATTTCCGACGTTGAAGATTGTGTTTCGCTAGGCTGTCTGAATCAGGCTTTACGCCTGATTGAAGCTAGGTAATTCTCCGTCGTGGGGAGCATCCTTGTGGCTGAAATCCTGTCTCGTACATGGAGGTCTTGTTCCGAACTGGGTCCTTCTTAATACCACGTTTTAGCAGGGGTTTGAAATACACTAGAACAAAGAGCCGACAAGTGTGACCAGATAAGAACAAGCCTCGCATGTCATCGGCAGTCTTACGAGACATGCCCACCCAGTCTGCATGACCGACGTGGCACAAGATCGCATGTGGAGACATGAGGGAGTTTCCGAAAATAAGGAACCTTGTTATGGGCTCCTTATAATAAGGATCCTACTATTTAGGGTGCTACAGTAGGGTCCCCTATTTTCGGACACCCCCATGACTTGAGTGCCGCTGTCAAGCTTCACTCTAATCATAGGGCCCCATAGAAGATGCCCTGTAAGGGCCCTTTTTAAATTCCTTATAAAGCCTTGGCCTAATGATAGAGGCCCCTATATTCGTTTTTGTGTCGGGCATTCAAGATTTAGGTCAGGATTTAACAATTTAAGGTTTGAGGGTGCAGGGCTTAGAGTTTGAGGTTAGAGGTATAGGGTTGGTTATGGTTTAGGGTTTTTGATCTTCAGGGTTACGGGCTTTAGTGTCGCAGGGTTACGGGTTTAGACCCTAAACCCTAAAACCCTAAACCCTAAACCCTTAAACCCTAAACCCTAAAGCCCTAAAAGCTAAACCCTAAACCCTAAACCCTAGACCTTAAACCCTAAACCCTAAACCCTAGACCTTAAACCCTAAACCCTAAACCCTCACGTTTTCTTTTTAGGGTTTGCGCACAATTTGGCATTGCCGGGCTGCTGAGTCCTGAAGATTTAAGAGGGTTTAGGGTTTGATGGATCGTTAGAGGGCTCCTTCAGGAAAGTATCCCCTAAACCCTAAAGCCTAAGACCCTAAACCCTAAAACCTAAGCCCTAAACCCTAAAGCCTAAGACCCTAAACCCTAAAACCTAAGCCCTAAACCCTAAAGTGACGACTTACATATGTACTTAGGACCCCTTGCGCCCTATGGCCCTGAAGAGCCTGCACATACTCAGCGCTTAAGCAGATCGAGATTGACCTTTGGTCGTGGGTTACAAAATCTGAGATTTTGGAGCTCATGGATTTAGGGTTTAGGGTTTCGGGGTTAGGAGTTTAGGGGTTTAGGGGTTTTGGGCTTAGGGGTTTTGGGTTTAGAGGTTTAGGGTTTAGGGATCTGGGGTTTAGGGATTTAGGGGTTTAGGGTTCAAGGTTACGCATGCTTGTCGTACCGCAGCGAAGCTAGACTTGACTTCGATAGAGCTAGGGACTTTAGGGAGTTTCTGCCACATGGCCAGCCTTCGTGCTTCAAACTGTAATAAGCTTCGCATGGCTTTGTGCTAAGGGAATGGAGCCAACTCTCTCCATGCTGTTTAGAGAAGCCCCGGACTGTTTAGTGTTTGGGTAAACCCTGTAACGCCCGAACCCTAAACCCTAAACCCTAAACCCTAAACCCTAAACCCTAAACCCTAAACCGTTAGCGGGACCTTATCAACCCGGACCCTGAACCCTGAACCTTTACAGGACCCTCATGAAAGCCTTTAAACTTAAAACCCCTAGAGGCAACCCCATAACGAGCCCTTTGAAGAAAGCCTTAATGGAGCCCTTGATAAGAGTCCTTTAATGAAAGGAGCCCTTAAGTTAAAAGGAACCCGTAAAGGAAGTGAACATCCCTGGCAAAGCTGCGAGAAGGCTTCGATTGGGTGAGATCAATGTGGGCTCTGCGGTGCAAGCATGCCTGGCTGTGAGGCCCCGGCTTAAAGTTTTAGCGCATCTCGGGGCTTTCGGGCTTTCGAGGGTCTGGCGGGTTTAGGGCTTTGTAGGGCTTTGTAGGGCTTTAGGGCTTTAGGGTTTTAGGGTTAAGGGTGTTCGGGCTTTAGGGCTTTAGGGTTTTTGGGTTTCAGGGTTTAGGGTTTTAGGGTTTTAGGGTTTTTAGGGTTTAGGGCTGTAGGGTAGGTCTCATACGCGGGCTTTAGGGTTTCTATGCTTATGCTTTCGTCGGTCGGTACAATACAGCTTCTTATGTAGATTCTGTTGTTCCCTAAACCCTAAAGCCCTAAACCCAAAAAACTCAAAAACCCAAAAATTGGAGAGAGAAGACTTTCGCCTCACCTTAGCGAAGGCTTGACTAGGGGGGTTCTGGGCGTAGGACCCTCTCGGATCCTACAACCCAAGCCCTAAAAAGTTTAGGGTTTAGGGTTTAATGAATGAGGCCCCTGTATTAAGCCCCAAACCCCCCCCAGGGGCTTGGACTCTGCTTGTTGGGTCCGCGCTCACGCATCTGTGTAGACCATGCTGCCTGACTCCCCTGAACCCCACCCAACTCGTTTAGGGTTTAGGTAGGGCGACTTCACAACGTAGTAAGGAATCCTTCAAAAGGAACCCTCGAAGGAACCTTTAAAGGATTCTTATTAATGGAGCCCTTTAGACCAAGAGACTCCAATATCCCTTAATTAAGGAATATACCCTAAATTATAGTAGGATCCCTAATATGATTTAAGGTATATTCCTTAACTAAGGGGTATTGGAGTCTCTGGGGACGGACCCTAAACCCTAAACCCTAAACCAAACTTTAAACTCTAAACCCATAGACGGAGCCCTTTAGTGTCCCACTTAGGGTTCACGGGTTTAAGGGCCTACTGCTCAAGGGTTCCAATCAGGGCTTAGGAACTCAAAAATTTCAGGGGTTTAGGGTTTAGGGTTTGGGGTTTAGGGTTCAGGGTTGGGGGCTTGAGGCTCGATTGCTTTGGGCTTATGGCTTAGGGTTTTGGGCTTTAGGACTTTATGGGTTTAGGGCTCTACAGGCTTGGGTTCTCAGCGGCGGGATGATCGTGACTTGTGTCTGCAAATATGAAAAAAGTATGTTTGGAGCTCTTCAGGGTGATCTGGGTTTAGGGTTTAGGGCTCCTCGTCCCCTGCTGTGGTCGATTTAAAGACGGTGGCCTCGTGAAAGGGAAGCAGTAGGAGGGGAAGGTGGAGGTGGATGAAAAGCCAACGGGCCTAGCCTTGCAAGAGAAGCCGCTACTGTTCGCCAGGTGCTCCGTCAGAGTCGTGGTAGAATGCCATGTAGAAGACGAAGGTCCGAAAGAGATGAAGATAGCGAGTCGTAGCGAGTAGCAGTAGCAGTAGCAGTAGTAGTAGTAGTAGTAGTAGTAGTAGTAGTAGGAGTAGCAGTAGCAGTAGCAGTAGTAGTAGTAGTAGTAGTAGTAGCAGTAGTAGTAGTAGTAGTTGGAAGCCTTAGCCCGAAACCCTTGTTCGTCAGAGTGTCAACTTCGCGGTCTGGGTTGAGTCTTTTGAGCACTCTACTTGCACCAAAAAACTTACAAACAGCAGGTTGAATCCAAACGGCAACACCAGAACCCCGCACTTTTGGGTGAAGGGCTCCATTTGGAGGTATTTTGTTTGAGGAGCGTGACCTGAAAACATGCTCAATTTGGGATGTTGTAGGTCATCCTACAGCCTAAGAAACGGCTCCCTAACCCCAAACCCGAAACCGTAAAGCACCAAAACTCTGAAGGTAGGGTTTAGGGGTTTAGGGCTTATAGGGTTGAAGGTGTAGGGTTCAGGGGTTTAGGGTTTAGGGGTTTAAGGTTTAGGGGTTTAGGGCCATAAACCTTAGAAAGGACCTCGAAGAGTCCGCTCTCCAGCCGTTGGCAGCAAGCGTTGATGCTCTTCAGGCGTTGCCGGAGACCTTAAGAGGGGCTTGGTTTTAGGGGTGTTAAGGTCTAGGATTTAGGGGGTTGGGGTTTAGGGTCCAGGGCTTTAGGGGTCTAGGATTTAGGGTTTAGGGGTTTAGGGTTCAGGGTCTAGGACTTAGGGGTTTGGGTTTTGGGATCCAGTTTCAGAGACTTAGGGTTTGGGGCACAAGTTGAGGTATACAGGCTGAGTTGCTTCGGCGGTTTGTGCACGGTGCACTTGTCTACTCGCCGTTGGATTTTCGAATCTTACTTCACCCGGCCCACGACCCAGCATGTGGTTCCAACTGTCAAAACAGTTTGACCTAAATGATTCGTAGCATTCTTGTTCTCACTGTTATTATTCAACATGTTCCTTTGGTACTTGCATGGGCGTTGCGTTCTATCGACGGTCCCGAGCATATGCAGGATTGACTATGTCCGGGGCTTCTTTCACAAATCTATGAATTGGGAGCCGGCAAATACCCCGCATGGCCCACTGCCGCTAAAGCTTCAAGAAACATCCGCCCTGACCTCAACTC